ACTCAAACATGGCGCCTGCCTGCCGGCTGTGCGGGAGGACTCGCCACAGGAGCCATGGCCTCTGCCAGCCCCTCTGCCCGGGAGGAAGCCGCCCTCCACCTCTTGCCCAGATCTCAGGCAGGTCAGTTCCTCCCCGAGTGTCCCGGGTCCTTTCCGGCTGCTGCCCGGCGCTGGGCTCAGAGGGAGCGTCCAAGTGAGTCCGTGCCAGGNGTTTCACAGCCCGGAGTTGTGGGGATGTCTCTTCCCGGCCTGGAGCCCTGGGCTGGGGCCTGCTGTGGGGCTGGGACCCCTCCCTCCTCCGGGAAACCTCTCCCTCGGAGATGTCCTCCCAGGTTTACCCTGCCGCACCAGGTATGGGCCCGTGGCTGCGTCTGGGGGATCCAGCCCCAATGGGCCTGCGTCTCCGCCCCTCCTCCCGGTCTTGGTGCTGCTTCAGCTCCCTGGTTGTGGGGCTTCTGTGCAGCTGGATCCCAGGAGGCTCTGAGTGATGGTGGTTCTGGGTTTTAGTTGTGATTTTGATGTGGCTGCGGGAGGCGGCGGGTGCAGCTGCTCCCTACGCCACCATCTTGTTTCTCATTATGGTTCTAATTTGCATCTCTGATGATTAGTGACGTTGAGCATCTTTTCAAATGTCTCTTTGCCATCTGTATGTCCTCTGTGGAGAAGTGTCTATTCAGGTCTTTTGCCCATTTTGTAACTGGATTGTTTGGTGTGGAGTTTTATAAGTTCTTTATATATTGTGGATATTAACCCCATGTCAGAACTGTTGTTTGCAAATAACATCTCCCATTCAGTTGCTTGCCTTTTTTGTTTTGTTGGCAGTTTCTTTCACTGTGGAGAAGATCTGTAGCTTGATATAGTTCCATTTATTTATTTTTGCCTTTACTTCCCTTGCCTTTGGTGTCAAATTCATAAAATGTTCTCTACGAACCAGGTCCATAAATTTTGTACCTATATTTTCTTCTATGTAATTCATTGTTTCAGATCTTATATTTAGGTCTTTAATCCATTTTGAATCAATTTTTGTACATGGGGACAAACTGTAATATAGTTTCAGTCTTTTGCATGTGGCTTTTCAATTTTCTCAGCAACATTTATTGGAGAGACTTTCTATTATCCATTACGTGTTTTTGGCTCCTTTGTAAAAAATTATTTGCCCATATATACGTGTTTTTATTTCTAGGCTTTCAATTCTGTTTCATTGGTCTGTGTGAATGATTTTTGTCAGTACCATTCTGTTTTGATTGTTGTAGCTTTGTAGTATAATTTGAAGTCAGGGAGTATGATACTTCTGGCTTCATTCTTTTTTCCCCCTCAGGATTGCTTTGGCTCTTCTGGGTCTTTTGGGGTTCAATTTCTCTAAAAAATGACATTGGGATTTTAATGGGGATTGCATTAAATCTGTATATTCCTTTGGGTAATATAACCATTTTAACTATATTGGTTCTTCCAATCCATTAACACAAAAAAATCTATTTTATTGTGTCTTTTTCCATCTGTTTCAATAATATTTTGTAATTATCAGTATATAGTCCCTTCACATCCTTTGTTAAGTTTATTCCTAGGTACTTTATTCTTTAGGTTGTAATTGCAAAAGAAATGTATTTTTTTGTTTTTCTTTTTCCTGAAGTTCATTGTTAGTATATAGGAAAGCAGTGGATTTTTGTACATTGATTTTGTACTGTGTGACTTTATTTGTTTACTGTTTCTAATAGGGGTTTATTTTTTGGTGGAGTCTTTAGGGTTTTCGATATACAGAATCATGTCATCTGCAAAAAGTGACACTTTTACTTCTTTCTTCCCAGTTTGGATGCTTTTTATTATTTTCTTTTGCCTGATTGCTCTGGCTAGGGCTTCCAGAACTATGTTGAATAACAGAGGTGAGAGTAGGAATCCTTGCCTTGCTCCTGATTTTACTGAAAAAGCTTTCAATTTTTCACCATTGACTATGATATTGGCTGAGGGTTTGCCATATATGGCCTTTATTATGTTGAGATAGTTTCCTTCAGTACCCATTTTATTGAGTGTTTTACTCATAAATGGATGTCGTATCCTATCAAATGCTTTTTCTGTGTCTATTGATAAGATCATATGATTTTTATTCCTTGTTTTATTCATGTGGGGTGTTACATTGATTGATTTGCATGTGTTGAATCATCCTTGTGTCCCTGGA